CTCTATATTCCTGAAGTGGCTGAATTCTTATTTAAGTAATAGGTGCTGCGTGGTCTCAATCGAGGGCATATCTTCTACTCTATTTACTGCATCATCTGGGTAGCATCTTAGGACCTTTACTCTTTGTTCTTTTTATTAATGATATAGGCAGCTGTTTTTCGTTCTCTAGGTTCTTGCTTTACGCGGATGACCTAAAAGTTTTTTCTTCGATTAAGAGTTCTGAAGATGCTTCTAGGGTTCAATTAGATATAAATAGATTGTACTTATGGTGTTGTCGGTCTCACCTACATCTCAATATTAGCAAGTGTTATCACGTAACGTTTTCCAAACTACGTAACGATGTGCAAACGTCATACAGTATCTCTGGTACTCCCCTTCAGTCAGTTTCTGAGATCAAAGACCTTGGTGTAATTTTCGATGCGTCTTTTTTATTCAATAACCACATCAATTTTATCATATCTAAATCATATGCTGCGTTGGGATTTGTTCGTCGAAATAGTAGTAATTTTACTGATCCCTACACTCTGAAATTACTCTACACGTCTTTTGTTCGTCCAAAGCTTGAATATGCAGCACTCATCTGGAGACCTCATCATAAATTTGCCATCGATAGAATTGAGCGTATTCAAAAAGTTTTCCTTAAATATGCCCTTTCTTCCCTCAATTTCTCCACTCCCATCCCTCCGTACAATTCCCGCCTCCTTTTGATTAACCTTAAGTCCCTCGAAAGCAGAAGGACTATTCTTTCCTTGCCTTTTGTGCGTCGCTTGGTAAGTGGTGAAATCGATTGCCCCGCATTACTGCTTGCTATTNGCTCGTCGAAATAGTTGTAATTTTACTGATCCCCACACTCTGAAATTACTCTACACGTCTTTTGTTCGTCCAAAGCTTGAATATGCAGCACTCATCTGGAGACCTCATCATAAATTTGCCATCGATAGAATTGAGCGTATTCAAAAAGTTTTCCTTAAATATGCNGGAGCGTATTCAAAAAGTTTTCCTTAAATATGCCCTTTCTTCCCTCAATTTTTTCCACTCCCATCCCTCCGTACAATTCCCGCCTCCTTTTGATTAACCTTAAGTGCCTCGAAAGCAGAAGGACTATTCTTTCCTTGCCTTTTGTGTGTCGCTTGGTAAGTGGTGAAATCGATTGCCCCGCATTACTGCTTGCTAT